AACCCCAAAAAACCTTTAAAAAAGGGTTTAACAATTTTTAAAAAACCCAAACAAACGCAAACGACGTGCCACTTCAAGCAAGCCTTTGACTAAACTGTTGGGGATAAAAACATAGACTTCAAATTATTGCACAGCTGATATATTGATGAGGAACACTTTTTATGGATTGACAACTTTTTTATTGCAGTGGATGCGACGGTTCGGTGTAGATACTGACACCGTTATCAAGAAAACGGTGTTAGTATCTACACCGAAAAGTCGCATCCACTGTAATAAAGAAGTTGTCAATCCATAAAAAGTGTTCCTCTTCATCATACCAGCTTCTAAATGCCACTTAAGGAAGCTGATACATTCTCGTAGTTACACCCAAAACAACATCCTCGGGAAGGAAGGAAGCATGATAGAAACACGGAGGACGTGTAGCCATTTGGTGTACCCGAAACTCGTCCTTCTGTCAACACGACAATGCTGAGTATCCAGGATACCATGTACACGAATGCATCTACACAAAGCTATTTGATAGCTGTATCTCGTCCAGCAATCAGCCAAGGCTGGTTTTGCTCCATAAGGTCGGAAAGTGTTTCTCAGTTTTGTCCTTGGATTGTCAGTTTGCCTGACATAGCCCGTTGTGACACCATAAGCCATTTGGGTGACGACCCTGCTGGTAAAAGGGGCACGGGGCGCCATTTTATCCTTATTGGTTTTAAAGTTTTAGGGCGACGTGGGCCAATAAGAGGCCTATTTGCGGCCATTTATCCTTATTGCTTCTCTAAAACCGGAGTTTCGCCCCTTATATTTTGTCACTTATGAGTTCTGGTTCATGTCATTGTTTCTCACCGATTTTGCTGGATGCTCTTTCCTGCAAACCCGTCTTCTATGTTTTTCTTCTTAGCCGTGGACATACTGTTAGTTTAGTTGGGAAATCCGTTGGTGAGGTCAGCGTTGAGTCTGTGAGCAGCCTAGCTGGAACTCGGCGCTATAGAAGTAGATTATTATTATTATTATTAGCGGGTCCAGGATGGGTCCAGAGGTAGGTTCAGAGGCGGGTCAAGATATGGGTTCGAATGTGGTTTCAGGGCCAGGTCGAGGTGTCTGTACAGGGTTGGGTCCAGCTGCGTGTTGGGGGTGGATCCAGTTAAAGGGGCAGGCCAATTGATAGGTCTAGAGGCCAGTTCATAACTACCCCACCCTGGTATACTATATCAATATATATATATATATATATATATCTGTTTTAATTAGCTATGAGTTGTGCCTGCAGTTTTTTGGGAGGACACAACGTGTGAAACATATCGTCCGAAGCAATGTTTGCAGGAGAATGGTCCACATTACTGTTAAGCAATCTCACTGGCGTTCTACATTCTATCGGGGCGGTGGGGTATCCTAGTGGTTAAAGCGTTGGCTCGTCACGATGAAGGCCCGGGTTCGATTCCCCACATGGGCACAATGTGTTAAGCCCATTTCTGGTGTCCCCCGCCGTGATATTGCTGGAATATTGCTAAATGCGGCGTAAAACTAAACTCAGTCAGTCAGTCTACATTCTATCAGGTACATAAGACAGCAATAGGTGATGGGTAATAATGCCAGCGTATTCTCTTTACCTCGACTCGCTCTAGTTGTACGTCATTAAAGTTGTACAATGTGTCCTCTTTACCTCGTTATTGCTGTACAATGTATTCTCTTTACGTAGCTGTAGTTGTACAATGTGTTCTCTTTACTTGGCTGTAGGTGTACAGCGTATTCTTTTTATGTCGCTAAAGTTGTACAGTATTTTCTTTACTTGGCTTTAGGTTACAGCGTATTCGTTTTACGTAGGTTTAGGTGTACAGCGTATTCTCTTTACGTTGCTCTAGTTATACAATGTGTTTTCTTTACTTAGGTTTAGGTGTACAGCGTATTCCTTTTACGTAGGTTTAGGTGTACAGCGTAAACTCTTAAAGTTGCTATAGTTGTGCAATGTGTTCTCTTTACGTAGCTTTAGGTTACAGCGTATTCTCTTTACGTTGTTCTGGTTGTACGATGTGTTCTATTTACGTTGCTGTAGTTGTACAATGTGTTCTCTTTGCGTTGTTCTGGTTGTACAATGTGTTCTATTTACGCTGCTCTAGTTGCACAATGTGTTCTCTTTCCTTATATTTATTTGCACAGCGTATGTGTCTTTTCTTCGCTCCAATGTATTCTCTCAGTACTCTGGACGCCACACGGTTTCAGGAATTCGTAAAACTCTTAATAGAATTAATAAAATACCAATGCGTAGTGAAATGACAAGCACGTATACAAACGTCTCCAGTCTGCTGCGTCATGCTGCTCACCACGTACCCAGCTCATTTGTCCCTGCCACCCGTATCGACTTACATTTTATGTGGGGCACCTGTTTACTACATGCACGGTAGAGCGAGGTGACCCTCCCGCATGTGATATAAAGTGGCGCGTAAACACAAGATGAGCTGTCACACTAACAAAGGACAAAAAACCCGACTAACCTGTAAACAACACGTTGGCTATCTGTAAATTGTTCCCCGGGAAAGGTTTAAAACGTATGCATGATCCTCTCAGAGAGAGCACATTCGCTGTTTTTGTTTGTTGTTTAACGCCGCGCACAGCAATATTCCAGCTGTGTGGCGGCGGTCTGTGAATAGTCGAGTCTGGACCAGACAATCCAGTGATCAACAGCATGAGCATCAATCTACGCAATTTGGATATGACTGACTGACTGAATTTTGGTTTTACGCCACTTTTAGCAATATTCCAGCAACATCACGGCGGGGGACACCAGAAATGGGCTTCACACATTGTACCTATATGGGGATTCGAACCCGGGTCTATGGCGTGACGAGCCAACGCTTTAACCACTAGGCTACCCCACCGCCCCAATTTGGATATGATGACTTGTGTCAACCAAGTCAGCGAGTCTGACCATCCGATCCCATTAGTCGCCTCTTACGACAAGCATCGATTGCTGAGGACCAATTCTAACCCGGGTTTTCACGGCTGGGTATAATTACGGAACGTTGTTATGGATAACTATGATGTCTTTGGTCTAACGCCAGATACAATATACTTGCAGGGAAATATCGACATGTGACCCTCCCTCAAAGCAGTTTGTTTGTTTATTGTTTGCGCTGCATCAGTGAGTGAGTGAATATGATTATATGCCGCTTTTAGCAATATCCCATCAATGCACGGCGGGGGACACCAGAAAAAGGCTTCACACTTGTACCCATGTTGGAAATCGAGCACGGGTCTTCGACGTGACGAGCGAACGATAGTGCGCTGCATCAAGCAGTAATCTAGCTGTATGACATTGGTGTATAAGTCTCGAGTCTGGACCAGACCACTCAGTTGTTGTCATCACGATCATCGATCTACACTTGTATGAACACCATCAGCGAGCCTATCCGCCAGATCTCGTTAGTTGCCTCTTAAGACAGACAGACCCGGTCTGTTTGAGGCCTGGATCTTTTCAGTCCCATCAAATCATTATAACGTCTGTATTACAAAGGGTGTACCGGTTTACACTGAGGCGAATTATCCCACGCACAAAAGACCATCCCTATATGAAGTATAACATACCATACCTGCACGACTACCTTTTCACTTGACTAGGTTACAAGAAAGCTCTCCTTGTCTATTCAGATGTTCTCTTACAAACCACTTAGGTACAGGTTTATGATTATAACTTAAAGGTAGATATGTGACACGTTTATTGAAAAACCTATAAAGTAACATCCACCCGGCCTTGGAAAAACCATTAACTTTGTAGTCATTGTAGTAAAGTATGAAATAATGCCACGTTGTCCTGTATACAATGCACAGGTCGCAAATCGGACGAGGTCGAGCAACACTTTTGGCGAAAAGTTGGTGGAAGTGATCATGTTCGGCAGCATGAATCCTGATAGTGTTTAGGGTTTCGGATACTTCACGTGAGGTGTTTCCTTAGTAAAGTGTCTTTGTTCGAGTAGGACTCTATTCATTAAGCAGTGCCTTGGTACTGTGAATCTTCTAGCGTCTCACATGACGTTGGTATACTGCCAAGGATGTTGAGAATAAAAATGGAGTGCTCACTGTACATTGATCAACTGACCGGGTTAACAATGCAGCACTGTCAACATTCTTTAAAAAGTGGATTTGGCGCATGATAATATGCGGACTAAATTGAATTTATCAATGTATGCTACCTGTATTTTGCAAAAGTCCATTTTTGAAGAACTAATGTAAGTGAAACTGGATGAACAGCTGTTTGAACAACAAAACTGTTAATAATGAGTATAAGTCCTCCTGAAGCTATTCGCAGTATGTGCAAACAAAGTTTGTTCAAAATTGTAAGCACACATGAAGCCGGTGCATTTACAAATATACAATGACTGTCGAAGAAGTAGTGGTGTGTACTCCATTTATATCCGAGTATTTTCAATGGACGCCATGTGGATGTCACAAACGTACACCAACATTACCGTCCCAGCAATCAGCGTGACATTCTACGTTTGACATTGTACATTAAGAAATGGATACATGATAGGAAACAAATTCAACAATATACACTTGCATGTTATAATAGTCTTAACCACAATGGGGGCGGTGGAGTAGCCTGGAGGTTAGAGTGTTCGCCCGTCAAGCCGAATGCCCGGGTTCGATTCCCCACATGGGTACAATGTGTGAAGCCCATTTCTGGTGTCCCCCGCTGTGATATTGCTGGAATATTGCTGAAAGCGGCGTAAAACCAAACTCACTCACTCACTTAACCACAATGATCTGATTAAAAGGAATTTAATATCACGGTACTGAGTCTGCTATGTTTATATTCCAGATGAGAAAACATTTGATGAAGTTAATATAGATATAAATATATACCATCAATAACAGAGAATAATCAGTCTCGATTAACAGACAAAAGATTTGTACTGATATTTATTATTTATTTAGACAATGAGAATATACAGATAATCAGTTAAGGGATGCTGTTGACCCACTCTTGTCTATTTCTTTTTTCATTTATGCAGATTGAATCGGTCAAAAAATATTTGTAAATTAATACGGATCAATGACCGAAGTATTTGTTGGTCAAAACTATGACTATTGTGGAGAGGTTCTTCGACGGTGCTTTAATATGTTGTCAAGGTAACGAACTCATGGTGCCTTACACCAAACTGCAGTGTGAGTGAGTTGGGTTTTTCGCCGCTTTAGCAATATTCCAGCTATATCACGACGGGGGGACACCACAAATGGGCTTCACACATTGTATCTATTTGTGGAATCGAACCTGGGTCTTCGGCGTGACGAACCAACGCTTTAACCACTAGGCTACCCAACCGCCCCAGGTTAGTTCTGTCTGTAGAAGCGTCAGATGAGAGCCTCAACAGAGTTAATGCATGACCTGTATTGGCGATATCCTATGCGTGCATGTAGCTGTCATTGTAATGACTTTGTTTTTCAGCATAAAACCTGCCGTGAGAGCAAAGGGAGGGTATCCCCAGTTTATGGTGAAGGTATGTACACATTTATTGTTAGATTTAAGGCCAAAAGAAAATATATTTTCATCTCTCGTAAATTATGTGTTTCTTCGTGTCCAAAGAAGTTATAGAGTTCCTAATCAGGACAGTGACGATTTCTGGCTACTTAGTTCATTTTCCTGAAACGAGAGTCAAAATTGGTACAAAACCAAACAAAAGTTGAAAATTGTTTAAAATGGATATATCTTTGCTGATTGTCCTAGTCCCGACTAATACCGGTTATACGGTGCAAGCCCCAAGTACCATACGGTAGTGTTCGTCCCGCCCACATATGGTGGGTGACTTCATGACTACATCAGTTTTCATTCCCTTTATACATCAACGATATACACGATATACCATTTGATGAACGTAGCTTCATATGGTGGGATCAGGGGATCGAACCACTTACCATCCGTTTTCCGACAGACACTCTATCCACTGGACCATCATTCTTCTTGAGTTTAATATCCCCCGCAACGCGTTTTGCTGGGGGTATTATTTTGGACTCCGTCCGTCCGTCCATCCGTACAAATTCGTCTTGTTTTTGCGTTTCCATGGCAACAACTTCGATTTTGACTGAACTTGGTATTGGTGCTCTTTTCAGGAGCAGAATTTTAAACTGTTCTAGGTTTCTTCACCAAAACTTGGTACATAGATAGATCTGCTGGTGAACCGGTACCTTTTCGTAGTTTTGGACAACTTAATAAAATATTTTTTTGTATTTCTACGGCAACAACTTTGACTTCGATTGAAGTTGGTGGTAGTGCTCTTTGCCGGAACAGAATTTAAAACCTACCAATGTAACATAGTCATAACTAGTTGACATATGAAGATTATTTTATCATTGCGAGTGATATTGATGACGTTTTCTTCTTGTTTTTCTTTGACTAGGATTTGCAGAGAGTGAAATTTCAAGCACAGGGATGAGTGAAGCAACTTTTGTCCGACAATTAGTTCAGGAAACGTGTTATCTTCACTGCTGTTAATAACCTTTCTGTCACTTTCCTATTAAGCTTTACAAATCTCAGTCAATCTCAAACCGTTTATGATAGATTAAGCAGAGTTGTATTTGTTTTCCTTCAGTATGCAGAGGTCTGGCACTGAAGTCGAGACTGAGCGGTACCACGATGCCATTTCATCTGGGGTTGACTGAAGATCCCCAGAGGAATATGTTGATCATCAAGTGGAAGAAGAAGCTCCTATCGCGTGAGTAGACGTTTACAATGCCAGTAAAGCGAGTCACTGTGTAGATGAGTGAGTGAGTGAGTGAGTGAGCGTTCTGCTTTAGTTTGTGAGCAACCTGTGTGAGTTTCAATCAGGGATGTGTCAGCATTCGGCAGGAATAAGTAAGCTTTCAGCAGGAACGGATGGGTTTTAAGTAGGAATGGGTGTGTTTTCAACAGGATTGGATCAGGTTTTCCTAACAGGAATGGATCAGGTTTTCCACCTGAATGGATTGGTTTTCAGCAGGAATGGATGGGTGTTTCCACTGTATTTGGAGTGGGTATTATGAATGTCGAGTGGGCATTTCATTTTCCGTTACTCACTGCTTTCAAATACGTGCGTATTTCAGTCATTTTACTCACCTAAGTATTAAGTCATTGACTAAGTTTACTAAGCAGGTATGTTCTGCCTTATGTCATACCTAACCAAAACCAACTAAAATATAAATGGAAATTATTTCATAAAAATTACTCATCCTGTACTGACAGTACAACACTTGTCCTATACTAACAGTACAACCTGATAGCAATCGATGTCTTTTTCATTACGCAAGCGATTTTTATAAATATATTCCATACGCATTTGTTTTAAACTTTTGCGTTTCTAACATTTTAAATGCGTGATTGGTACGCAGCAATTATTTTTCAATGCGTAATTGGACATTTTCTATGCGTATTTTACCCGGATACGCAGCTTATCTGGGCCTCTGGAGTATTAACCATTAATCTGTCCTACCGCCAGACACAGTAAGAAAAATCAACCACAAGTATACGCTGACATTAATGGCGAGTTACTTCTTACAGGGTCCGGAAATGCGTTGTTATACATACCTTTGGCGGCGAATGATTCCGGAATCTGTTTTAACATCACAATCAATTCGGTAAGCATATGCCTTCTATATATGATGTAATGACTCACAGTAATCTTGCATATTGGCATGATTCCTTGATTATGAGAGGTATGATATGATATCTGATAACAAGCCACTTTCCATGGCATCTTGATGATGGTAGTATTGTGTGATCTTACTATGACTTTGACGAATGGGGAATTGAACTAACAATGGCGATATTTGAATAAACGCATAACTTTATGTAGAACTGTGATGGTATATTTTAAGCATTTTCAAAATGACAGACAGACAGACAGACAGACAGACAAGTTTATTCAGTAAAAGGCCACAGGCCCATCATACAGTCATTTGCATATGATATAGATAGTTTAGTGCACATGCTGTGTAATAGGAACATTTCTAATGCGCTGAAGTACATGATACAGAAAAATACTGACATCTCTTATGATACAGTCATTATGTGTTTTCATAATGTTAATAAAAAATTGGCATTTGGATCAAAATCAGTAAAATATTTCTGAACATATCTTAACCTTAAATCAGAAAAACGTTCACACTTAAGGAGTACATGGAATTCATCTTCAATAACATTTTTGTCATCCAATTAGCAAAATAGACATAGTCTCTCGTTGTAATTAACTTTATTGTATCTTCCAGTTTCAACAGCTAAATTAAAATTACCACATCTAAATTAAGAGAGTGCAGATCTGAGATGTAAAGGAATATCAGAATTTAAATACCTTTTGAAAATAAATCATTTGAGTGACTGTGATATGAAATATTTCGAGGTGAGATTTAGAACCTATTAACCAACACACATATGTACATTATAGTACACAGTCAGATAAACTGTTTGATGCATTTTGTTATTCAGAAAAGATACAAACATAAGAATCTGAGGCTTCGCTGCACGGATGCAGACATTCTAGATGTGACGAACAAGAGGTTCCTGCTGGTTGATGAGGATGCTAACCCAGTTGCAGTGAACAAGGTAGGTTGCTTATCCACGTGTAATTCAGGCATCTGTATAAAATACTTGGAATTAGACCCGTGAAGATCCGGGTCTGCAGCAACCCATGCTTATCGTAAGAGGCGACTATAGGTTTCGTTGACACTGGTCATCGTATCCCGTTTGCATATATCGGTACTCTGGATGATCACTGGATTGCCTGGCCCAGACTCGATTACAGACCGCCGCCATTTAGCTGGAACTAATTGTATGTAAATTATAACTTAACATAGAACTAATACTCAATCATATGGGGCGGTGGGGTAGCCTAGTGGGTAAAGCGTTCGCCCGTCACGCCGAATGCCCGGGTTCGATTCCCCTCATGGGTAAAATGTGTGAAGCCCATTTGTGGTGTCCCCCGCTGTGATATTGCTGGAGTATTGCTAAAAGCGGCGTAAAATCAAACTCACTCACTAAATCATATTTTGGTTCAAACAAACCTTAACAGAAACGTATTTTTGTTCATTTCCCAAGAAACAATTCTAACCTTCAAAGTCATTGCATCATGGTGTGATGCTATCGATGATCTCTTTGCTGTCATACTTCATGATGTGTTTATTTACAGCCAATGCCGGACGCCGAGTCATTCTCTGAGCCTGATAAGACCTGCGACTGTTGGTCTGTGGAGGACCCACACCAGAGGATGCAGGACTGCTGGTCTCCGGGCTGGGTGCAACTGAATCCCGTCGAGAACAAATCCATGGAGGTCGACGTTGTGTGGAATCCATGTAACACGTCCAGGGAAATAATTGTCATGATTGGACCGAAGGACTCGCACACAACCAGCGACGAGGCCACGATCCCTACTTACAAGGTAAGACTTTTCAATAACGGACTGGAAGGTTAATAATCTGCCTTTGATTCCGGAACCAGACTTAAACTAGATGTATTAACATCCTACAGGAACCTGAGGACGTGGCTATTGCTTAACGCCGAATGCGATTTTCATAACGACTTAAGTTTATATTGTGTAGGTTGTGCTACACGTGTATGATTGTAAATATTCTGTAAATTGTACGTGTAAATTGTTCTGTTATTCAACAGTTGCGGGACTGTCTTCACAGTCAAAAGTTTATTATCAAGGAGCCTGGAGAATACGAAGCTTGGGTAATTATGAAAATTGTATATATGACGTGTGAAAAATACGTTTGTAAACATTTCTGCGAAAGCTAGAATTATATATAGGTACACTAGACAAAACGGGCAGGAGGGTCCAGTTCGATTCCCCCACGTGGGTACAATATGTAAAGCCCATTTCTACGTCCCCCACCGCTATATTGCCGGAATACTGCAAAAAACGTAAAACCCAACTCGCTCACTACATATACATTATTTCTAATCCACATAACTAATTCATGAACATGTTACACAAAGGAGCTCAGAAACAGATATGCAAAGTTGCTGTAAATCGGTAAATGACATTAATACATGCCGAGTTCTCTCCCTTGTTCTGTGAAACAGGTTGGTGCTTTAGGATGCGAGTCCCCTGTGTACGTTAAGAGTGCAGCTCTTCTGATGCCATATAAGCCCAATACCGGTAAGTTATGTTCCTTGATTTTGTAGAAATTGACAAAAGGACCCAGTTTATTAAAAACAACTTCAGTAATTTACTACATTTCGCTAGAAAATATTATACCGTGTTCTTGCTTGGCAACGATATTAGGAAAGGCAGCAACCCGTGCTTCTGAGAGGCGATTTACAGGTTCGGGTGGTCAGGCTCGCTGACGTGGTGAATGTATGTCAGATCGATGCTCGCGATGTCAATCACAGGATAATCTGGTCCAGACTCGATTATGTACACTCCGCCGCCATATAGCTGGAATATTGCTGAGTGTGGCGTTAAACAACAAACAAGCACATAAATATAAGAAAAGGTCACTATTACAATAATATTATATTCGTTGTTTTTGTTTAATTCTAATATATATAATAGTATTTATTATCCGCTTATTGTGTCTACCTTTGCCAGCGAGCCATAATGTATCTGTAGATGGATGTATTGGTAGATCTAACCTAGCTGTCACGTGAAAACAACTGTAGTAAACTATCTCTCTATTTTACATATGTCTGTACTGTAAATTTGTTGACACTATGAAAATTATTTGGCAATTACTTCGGGGTTAATGTCATATTTGAACTAATTACTTGACATTTTCTGCCATGCTGTCATCATAGAGAGGTTTCATATTTTATAACCTGTCACATAAGCACATAGTAAAATAGCTCTCTAGTTTATATATGCATGTAGAAGAAGAATGAGGACTATTTTGTGGACATGCAACTTCTTTATTCTGTATAGGCGACGTTTCGACATAGATTCTAATGTCGTTGTCAAGCAAGTGGTTTTTCTGAAAAGGCGACGTTTCGCCATAGATTCTAGTGTCGTTGTCAAGCAAGAGTGAGTGAGTGAGTTAATATTTCACGTCACATCGGCAATATCTCAGCCATATCGTGGCGAGAACAATCCAGACAATAAAAGGTGAAAACATTTGGAAGATTGTCAAGCAAGAAGTTATATATATGCATGTCCAGTTAATTTGTTTACTCTGTGAATTTCTTTTGGTAATGAATTCAGGGTAATTATCATATTTCATCTAATTACTTGACATTTTCCTCCGTGCTGTCACCATAAAGAGACCATGTACTTAGGTTTCATATTTTGTAACCTATCACCTAAAAGGGCGAACATTATTATCATTTCAGTTCCTGAGAATGAGGTTTTCCGAGCGACTGTTCAGCCTGATGAAGGTTCAAGTCCTCCCTCAATCAAACTTGTGGTGGTTTTGGTTGGAGCATTTGCGTTCATTGGAAGTCTTTCCCTGGGCGTAGCATGTTTTATAAAACGTATGTATTACCATGGTTACAGCTTTTTCCTCATACTTACAATGATTACATTTTTTGTAATCTTTAGTAAATTGCCAATAGTACATTTTACCACTACGATACGAGTAGTTTACTGATAGTGATTATCTCACTTCAGGTCCGCGCCTGGCTCCAGTGACAGACCCTGAGACAGAACCACTTACAGGTAGGACAGATTCTCTGTTGTTGGTTTGGTTAGTTAGTTTGTTGTTTAACGCCGCAATAAAAAAATATTCCAGCTATATGGCGGCGGTCTGTAAATAATCGAGTCTGGACCAGACAATCCAGTGATCAACAGCATGAGCATTGATCTATGCTATTCGGGATACGATCACATGTGCCAACCAAATCAGCGAGCCTGACCACCCGATCCCATTAGTTGCCTCTTACGACAAGCATGGGTTGCTGAAGATCAATTCTAACCCGGATACATAAAAATGCATGCTTGTTTGCTGCCTTACAGAGCACATGAAAAAAACCGAGTGAGTGAGTGAGTTTAGTTTTACGCCACTTTTAGCAATTCCCCAGCAATATCACGCGGGGGGACCCGGGTCTTCGGCGTGACGAGCGAACGCTTAAACCACTAGGCTACACAACCGCCCTGAAAGAAACAAAACCGTTAGTCACTTGGTTTTAATTTTGTGCAGGAACTTCAGATTGCTGAACACCCATTCTAACCCGGATCTTCACGGGTTTCTCTGTTGTTTAACTAACCCCTTGTCGTTTACAGGGAAACCAACATATACAATTGTCAAGGGGTCTGAGGAAAAAGTAGTAAAGACAATAGCTGATACCTTGAGACAAGCATTGCCCGGATCTGACAACAATGCCATCACAGCTCAGGACTTAACACAACGCCAGCCTTCCATGAATGACATCCAGATAGTTGTCCTTCTACAGGACATACATGCCCATACGAAGCTAGGAAACTACGGTAACAGAACAGTCATGCTGCAGTTGGACTATACTCGGTCGGACATGGAATCCCCCTTGGTAGTTCACGTGCCAGAGACTATGGATCATCCGAGTTTCACCGCAAGAAATAACCAATCAAAACAGTCAGTTGGGTTGAGCCTGTCCGATTTCTTGCAAGGGATGGAGACAAGGTGCAGTCTTACTAGCCCTGAGATGACTGGGCTCGAGGAGGAGGTGAAACAGCTCTCCAGATACAGAAGGGGTTTGTATGATGGAAGTGCATATGTCTGCGTTATTGTGCAACAGCTTCTGATTTCAGTTTTCCTTTGTCTTCTAAAATGCAGTAGAGATATTATATATGTTTTGAGTTAAATATGTAGTTGTTTTGAAAAAATGGAACAACTACTAGAAGATCTTTTTAACTGTAAGTTTGAACTCTTGATAATTATATAAATGCATTATATGTTGGAAATAATTTTATATTTTGTAAAATAATAGTAGATTGGTTCATGAAATATATTTCATTGGATTATAAGAATTTAAAAAAATGTTTTTTTTCACAGATGAAATCAAAAACATCTTACTCATATCTGGTTCTGATCATCAGTTCCATAGAAACGCATGTCATGAACTTGCTGAACTTTTACGAATGGTGGGCAAGACTGTGATTGACCCACACGATGGTGTCGGCAGAAAAGGCATGAAGGAAATTGGTCCACAGGAATGGACAATGAAGCAAATACATAAAGCTGACCTCATACTCATTGTTAGTTCAGATAACGTGTACAGACTAGTTGACTGTTATGAAAGAGAAGAAGCGAGTGGAACTGTGGAAGGCGTGAGTATCTGTGTTCCGTTGTGTCTCAAACAATTGTCAAGGGGGAATGTCACTGGAAAGACAGCTCTTGTAACGTTTGGCTATGGATCTGGGTATCTTGATAGAATCATTGACATGTATCCTCAACTGAGTCGCGACATGAGATACTGCTTAGTGGAATCGAAGTCTGGTGCCTTCCAGGAGGAGCGGGACCAATCACATGCACTGCATTTGTTCTTGTGCAGAATGTCATCAAATCAGACTCTCGTCGATGGTGCTTGTGCTAGTAGACATTGTGAACTCTTCTTCGGGAATATTCAACAGATGGCGGCTGCAATGGTGGAGGATTCAGACTCCCTGATAACCAGACACAGCTCTATGGAATCGTTTAATTAAAATTTCTAAGTGTGCAATTTATATTTGTTGGGGTAGCCTGAGTCGAGTGGCAGCTAAAGGATGATTTCTAACGGAACTCACAGTTCGGTTGTCTCGAAGCAGGAGCTTGGTCGATAGGAATTCCAAATGTATGTTCATCATATTGCGGTTATGTTGAACAACGGAGAGCTTGAAGTATTTCCGTAGATCCCTTTAACACAAATGGTGTCTGAATTCAGTCAACTCCCAGGAGTGATTGGTGAGTCGAAATTTAAAGTCACCTCTCCACGTATTCAGCCAAATTGTGACTGGACGGGTTTTTACATTACAGTACACACTCCATACACATTACCTTTGCATTGCCCATCCTGAAATAGACCATTGCTTAGTCGCTGAAATAGGTTTTGAAAGAAAAACATGTAGTGACGATATCGTAATTTATCTTGCCTCACACATAAGTGTCCATTTCTGATTGGCCGAGCGCTCTTCTACTATTTTCTATGTACCCCGCTGGGAATGCCGAACTCATTTGGTACTTCGTAGTAGTAATTCTTTATCTCGAATAACATTGAATCAGGTCATTCGTGACCCACTCGTGTTATTCCGGGACAAGCCTTCTTGGAGGTTACGGAAAGGGGAGAGTGGTGACGAATGTGAATCACGTATGATGTACGGAAATTACCTGTGTTTTGCGAATGCAAATCGATGTAAGGGAGATAACTCTAAATTCTTTTTCTTGTCGTCTGGTACTCCATACTGTGATCCGATACCCGCGTTTCAAACAGTTCAAAATTACCATTGAGGTGTTCGGTAAGATAAAAACGTTGTTCACTGATCCCTCGGTGCCCGAAGGGCAAGGGGAAGACAAAGAAACATCGAGGGTATATCAGCCCGTGTCCCCCTCGAGACCAGTGAACAACATATAATGTCATGAATGTATTCATAGTGCAGACTGTGACATTTTCATGTTGTTTCTATATATGTGTTTGTATGAAGGGATTTTGTCCATTTATCATATCATATGTAAACACAAATTCTCATATAAATGAATACACATTGCCTTCTTGCCCGCTCTATGTATATTCGAGAACCTTTCTCATTGTCATGCATTTCTCACACACTGCACTACGGTCGCTGGTTGACGTACACGTGCTAGATAATGTGTTGTTTCATAGGTTGTTTCATAGTGTCTAGTTTCATATTATATGTGTCTAATAAAGGAGGAAACATTGTTAGTTCCTGTGTTATGTATTATGTCAAGTCTGTTGTGTGTCATGTCTGTGCTTGAGTACTTGGTGTTGATTTCTTTGCTTTAGGTCGTGGGCTTCTTGTCAGCGCGAGATTGAGCATTTTAGACAACTCGAGTGCTTTGTTTCTGTGCGAAATTACGTTGTGTTTTATCATGAGCTCGAGCACATTGCGCCAGTGCGTGAGTGCGTTTGTTAGGCCATGTGCTCTAGTATATTATGTCATTTTGTTGTATTAGGTGGTTTATGCTAAAACGTTGTACTGCTATTCCAAAGGCATGTATGAAAATGATTAGATTAAGATTTTAGGTCAGGTTGACGTCACTTAAGTGACGTTGCCGTAACACTACCGGGTTAAAATGGGGTGACGTCAACATAGTCCTTACACACGTTGCCGTAACACTGCCGCATTACAATGAGGTGATGTCAACATAGTACTTACACACGTTGCCGTAACACTACCGGGTAGCAATGAGGTGACGTCAACATAGTACTTACACACGTTGACGTCACACTGCCCGATTACAGTGGGGTGACGTCACCATAATACTTACACACGTTGTCGTCACACTACCAGGATACAATGAGGTGACGTCAACATTGTACTTACATACGTTACCGTAACACTGCCGGGTTACAATGAGGTGACGTCAACATAATACTTACACACGTTGTCGTCACACTACCGGAATACAATGAGGTGACGTAAAGATTGTATTTACATACGTTACCGTTACACTGCCGGGTTACAATGAGGTGACGTCAACATAGTATTTACACACGTTGCCGTCACACTACTAGGTTACAATGGGGTGACGTCAACATAGTACTTACACACGTTGCCGTAACACTGCCGGGTAGCAATGAGGTGACGTCAACATAGTACTTACACACGTTGCCGTAACACTACCGGGTAGCAATGAGGTGACGTCAACATAGTACTTACACACGTTGCCGTACACACCGATTACCGGATGTCAACATAATATGAGTTGACGTCAACGGGATAGTGAGGTGACGTCAACATTGTACTTACACGTTGCCGTAACACTACCGGGTAGCAATGAGGTGACGTCAACATAGTACTTTACATTACACACGTTGACGTCACACTGCCTGATTACAGTACACACGTTGGGTGGTGACGTCAACATAATACTTATACACGTTGCCGTCACACTACCGGGATACAATGAGGTGACGTCAACATTGTACTTACATACGTTGCCGTAACACTACCGGGCAGCAATGAGGTGACGTCAACATAGTACTTACACACGTTGACGTCACACTGCCTGATTACAGTGAGGTGACGTCAACATAATACTTACACACGTTGCGTAACACTGCCGGGTTACAATGAGGTGACGTCAACATAATACTTACACACGTTGTCGTCACACTACCGGGATACAATCAGGTGACGTCAACATTATACTTACATACGTTACCGTAACACTGCCGGGTTACAATGAGGTGACGTCAACATAATAGTTACACACGTGGTCATCACACTACCGGGATACAATGAGATGACGTCATTATTGTACTTACATACGTTACCGTAACATTGCCGGATAATAATGTGGTGCCGTCAACATGATACATTCGCACGTTGCCGTCACACTACCGCGGTGACGTGAACATAGCACATAATACACACACTGAAAAGCTATTCCAATTACTGAAACTTAATTATATTGGCTCAATGAACAAAATTTTACTTTTCTACTATTTTTGGCGGTGCCACGCCACATATCTGCAACATAAATTCTCCGTACATCTATATTTCTCTTGGTACATGCCATTCGAAAACATACCTCTAGACACCCATTCGTGACCAACTCGTGTTGTTCGGGGTCAAGCCGAATACCAACTGGTGCCCTCTGGAAGGATTTCATATCAGCGCATGATCATCAGAACCATTTCAAACAAGAACGATACCTCAAATCCTGTTCCATACTATTGCACTTAACATCACCGCATCACATGTATATTGTATTGCTGTTTTGTTTTTGTTTTTATGTATTTATTTTAAATTCTGGTACAAAACGCTGGAGTACCTACCCCTGAAGCTACATGTACATCCCCGGGCCCACAACTGTGACGACGAAACCTTCTGGCAGTTGCTCATGGGTCGTCCACAGAGTGTGTGCACTGATGAAGAGGTGCTCTTCCTCTTCCACAACCTCTCCGCTGTTTTCCTCAAGTCTGCAATGTCTGCATACCAGCGCCTCATCACTATACAAAGTGTAACCATCAACTGACATTGAAGTCATACCTAATGAACACTCATTCTATTTTCTTAACATGAAACTTTCAGTGAATCAAAACCTCTTACTTTGTCTTTACATATTCCCAATCAACATCCAATCTCCAATCCAATGGAGGAAATATATATGATGATGATGATGAAGATGATGATGATGATGATGATGATGATGATGACGAGACTAGAATACCCCCAAAGATTTGAAATATATAGGTAGCCTAAAGGTTAAAGATTAAAATGGATCAGTTATTTTAAATATTATTATTGTTTTGATTATAAATAATAGCGTTATATGTGTATTTTGTAAAAATGTTCTAAATCGCACGTACAATCTACAAAACAAACCCGCAAGATCGTCAAAATCAATTCAAATGGACCCACTTTCGTTATGTAAACAAACGGAGGTGCGTGTTTGCATACCGTTCATGGTAGCATCCTAATTAAAAACTTCACACGAGGCAACATAATTCTGTTAGCAACGTGCTTTGTTGTTTCAATATGAGGATATACATTTTCATGCTTTTTTTTTAAACAATGCCATAAACGATTTAAATACTGTTTTTATCAAGGCACCGCGAACATCACGCGCGTTCTGACTGGTTTGTCCTCATTTCGTACATAACATGAGGGAAACCGTTACTTTCAGATGATGACGATAAAGGCATTCGATAAGCAATCACGGGAACCAAGCAGAAATGACTGGCACTGAGATTTGTTTGACACGCTTTAAAAAGGAGTGAGTGAGTGAGTTTAGTTTTACGCCGCACTCAGCAATATTCCAGCTATATGGCGGCGGTCTGTAAATAATCGAGTCTGGACCAGACAATCCAGTGATCAACAGCATGAGCATCGATCTGCGCAATTGGGAACCGATGACATGTGTCAACCAAGTCAGCGAAACTGACCACCCGATCCCGCTTTAAAAAGGAAGCTGATATATCACTACGACAATGTAAACATTCTCCATTTGACATGTGAAGGAGGAATATTGAGATAGACAAGGCCTTTCTTCACAAACAAAATTGTTGATAGTGAAAATGTGGGCATGAGAATGCCGGGATTTCCGGAAATTGCCAGGAATTCCACATGCTACTTCCCAAAAGGGGAATCAGCTAGGGTCCATACAGGTAGCAAAGGCACTGTAAGTCCCCATGGTCCCTAGTATGGTGATCTACCTACAGTTGCTGGTGATCTCCAGCCCGATTTTTATATTGAGTTGTCCATAAAAGTTTGTCGAATTTTACAGTTTCATGCTAGATTTAATTCTCTATCTGTGATAATCTAGTCATTTTACTGCCTATCGTTGGCATGCTTGTACAATTTAATTGTGTCTATTATTAATTTATAACTTTTGAGTAACGATGTGGCTGAAATATTGCCAATGTGACTATAAATTGTAACTCACTCACTCACTCTAAAAGGGGCCAATTAGATAATAATGGATGGTGCCATCAATATCTTCCTATGTGTTGGAGGAGCTGTTACGATTGTAAAAGGTGTTCCTACACAGAAACTCCCAGACACCAATAGATGAGAAAATGATGCAATGAAACAAGCGATGATTGCTCACTGCCATGCTCTGATGACAAGAAAACATTTCCAAACCTGTTTATATTGGTTTCACTTAAAGGTACATTCTTTGTAATTATGAATATGTAGGTTAGATCTAAATTCATCACACACTCATCAACATGCATACACAAGCATATATTAAGTTTGGTGTTTTTTCCTAAAACAGGCCACACACATCAGTAGCAACAAAATGTTATCATTCCGAGAGATCGATTCATGAATGTGGCGAAATATTATCAACATTTAACATCACTCCCAGTTAACAATAATTCAATATCTTAATGCAAAGAATGTGTGTCTTTGCTATTTAGGATTTTATGGTGAAATCGTCGAAATCGACAAACAAGATAAAGGTGAATGACTGACAAGAAGCATTGAACTGTCTCTTTACAAAGTCAGTTGAAATTCCTTGATGTCCTTTCGAACTGCTGCAAGCATATTAGACAAGCTCGTTAAACAAACTGTTAAGAAATACACCAACAACGATATCATGAAAATCCTGCATATTTAA